TTGTTACCTTAAAATGAGCCGTTTCTATTTATCTTGAAGAATAACTAATAAATAACCTTGATAGATACCATTTTATTGTGCTAAACTAGTGTGAGACACACCAGGCAAGCTGGCGGTGTCAGTTTCTGTCCTTTGTGTCCTGGAAGAAAAGCCTGGAAAACGAGCCTAACACCACTTTAAGGAAGGCAGTACTCTTGTCCTGAGTAAAGCTGCAACAATTAGCTGACTAATCAATTGTTTTCATTTATTAAATTAATCGCCAACTATTTTGATAATTATTCATTGTTCTGAGTCATTTTAAAGAAAACAAGTCCCAATTCTCTGATTACAGCTTCTCAAATGGGAACATTTTCTGTTTCAGTGACAGTAAACTGAATATCTTTGGGTTGTGGACAAAACAAGACATTTGAGGATGTCACCTTGCACTGATCAACATTTTTCACAATTATTTTAGATCAAGCAGCTAATCGCTAAACAAGAAAATGATCAATAAATAATCAATAAGAAAAATGATGATGATGAATGATGATTACTATTCATGATATGAATAGCCGGTACTCTCTCTGACGGTCTTGTTTGTTTCTGTAGGTCATACAGAGGCATCAGTATTAAACCGAGATTGTTTCTGAACTAGGGATAGACCGATATGGATTTTTTAGGGCCGATGCAGATTTTTTTTTTCCACCAGCCTTAGCCGATACCGATACGGACTGCCGATTTTCTTGAGCCGATATTTGGAGCCGATTCTACTTTGCTCTCTCAGTTACATGATAAAGAATGACACAATGCATGATAACAAATGTTAGCGAGTCTCAATTTGAAAAACAAGTGACATTATTGAAAGTTAAGAATAGGTTGAGAAATAAATTCTGAAGAATAAGATATTAAGGCATAAATAAAATAATGACAGCATGATTGCCACACTGAGTAGCAAAAGAATAATTCTAAGATCAAGATCAAACTCTTTACCCCACACGAGGAGTTTCAAAGAGGTCATTGATTATTGTGATTTGTGAAAAGAGAAATGTAAAAGAGTCAGCCGTATACGGCGATCGACGGTGCACTTGTCTGGGTACATGATAAACGTGTTGAAGCACGGAGATTGAATATGTCAACTACGTATAATAGAACATAGGGGTCTGCTCATCATTAAAGTGTTTTTGGGGGGGTTGCGAGGTGATGGATATCACCGCGGATGAAGGAAACTCCGCCCCGGCTTCAGAGGGGAGGGAGAGAGAGAGAGAGAAGAGAGAACGCACACACGCGTCCGAAACCTCGCAGCCAGGGTGGTCGCTAGATATTGAAACTTGCTATCAACCACCACGGAACAGGAGCAACTTTCCAGTTTCAAAGTGGGTATGGCACATATGTCAGCTAAGTGGTACAGTTATAAAGAGCTTTGAAAATTTAGATAACGACTAGCGTTGTGTTGAAGACCAGGCTGCCAGCAGCTCTCCTGGGTGGT